AGCCTGGATTACGCTCCGGCAGTAATCCCATAGCTGCGTGAACGAACTCTCCTCCGTGGCAACTCCTGAGTTTGCTGGGTCCATGGTGGTTGGCGGGATCATTCTGTCACGGTCTGGCTGGCAGACCGTGGGGATATGGGGGAAGGAGGACCCAAAACGATGCAAACAGTGCACTTTATTTACAGTGAAGGTAACAGATGCACAATAAATCCCCTTTTTGCTCCCTAGACTCCCATGTGTGTGTTCCCCTCCGACGTCCGTGCTCGTGCTCCCAGCAGTTGTGTTTCTGCACACCCTGTGTGTGCTGCCCTTCTGGTCCCTCGTTCCACCTGCAGGACAATACAGAAGCAGCTGTTAAACACTGAACCCGCGCGCACACACACATGATCCGCACTTCCTAATACTACACACTGACTTGGAGTCTTAGCTTAATGATCCCGCACCGGTGGGAGCTCCAACACTCTCCTAAGTAGCTCCCCCGACGAGCCCTGATCACCAACAGGTGTGTGGCAGGAACTTCAGGTGTGGCCAGTCCTCCTGCAGGGCCACACCCATCAGGCCTGCATGTGGCTGTTCTCCATCCTCCAGCCACACATGCACACACCCTGCCTCCACATATGAGTGGAAACCCGAACACAGCATAGTGCAGAAAAACACATCCCCCAAATAACAACAACACTAATAATAATAATAATAATAATAATAATAATAATAATAATAATAATAATAATAATAATACTTCCTGCTCACGGACCCCCGAGTCCTCCAGAGCCGGGTCCGTGACAGATATTGCATTCAGATGTTTAAATGTGTGTGTCTTTCAGAAAGACTAAGTTGCAGGCTGACAGGAAATTGCAGTTTTGCAGAGTGTGCCTTTTACAGAAGTGAAACCGAAAGCAGAGTCTAAGTGCAGGTTATTCAAATTGTCTTTTATACTTTTATATTCTTTTATTAAGCTTTTAGTAGAGGTTCTTGATTAAAACATTTATTCAACATAGTACATATAGTTTCAGTTAGGTTATTACACATAAGGATGAGCCTCTGTGTCTGGTAAAAGGTCAGAAGTGCAACAGGGTGAAGAGAGATTGAGGACGACACACACACACACACACACTCAGTTAGAGAGAATCATTTATAGGTGAAAGTTTAATCATGTTTTGCTTGGGGTTGCAAAAGAGCAGTTTGTTGCAGAACTGCTGCTGATGTATCAAGACGATAAGCGAGCGTCCGGCAGTGACAGGAAGCACCTGCCGTGAAGACGAAGACAATGTTCTTTTTAAACTGTGTTAAAAGTCATTGTGGTTTTGGAACCTATGTATGAAGTGTATCTGATGACGCATGAGGGGGCGTCATTAAATTCAAGCCCTGATGGTATAAAATACAGTATCTGCTTATGCTTTGATTAGTCGGAGATCAGCGCTGTCTGCGAACGGAGCTGTTCCCCCCACGCATGTATTTCATTAAAATCAATTGTTTGACCAAGTTCTTCTGGACCATGGTTGTTTGTACTCTCCTTCCTCAATATTTGAACCTTAACAATAGATAAAGGAGACTTCTAGACATTAATTTACACAAAATATGGCAATGTGTTAAAGTTTGATTTATTTATGTTGAAAACCCTGAAAATCCTGAGATATTTCCAGGTTTGGGGTTTTGTTGTCTAACTCCATTGAGTTAGAGTTGTTTTAAAGGAGGATCTGTTAGGGACTTCAATAATCAGTTCCTTGACTGTATGCTTTCTGTTGTGAAGAAACAAAAATAACACATTAGTGATTCCCCAGCAACAGCCAATTTTACTGTTAAAGCTCTAAAAGTGCATCCTGCTGCAAACCTTCTAGAGGATCAGGAGAATGACCAGAACGTGAGGGGAGAGTTGTGATTGAGTGTTCACAGGAAGATACAAGGTGTGTAGCCGCATCCCCACTTCATCCATGCACATCAGGCTTAATGATTCTCAGTTCAGAGCTCATGGTTAAATTGCCCATCAGTGTAATTGTGTTTATTCCTAGGCTACAGAATGTTATATTCACAGAGTACCCTTGAGTTCATAGTTCACAGAAGTCTAGCATTAAACTGTTCTAGAGTTCACGTCTAGCCTCCCGCAACCTGTTCAGTACACCAGACTACATTGTAAACATTTAACTATAGTATATACCTACCCTTCTCTCACCCCAACCGGTCGCAGCAGATGGCCGCCTGTCATGGTCCCCGCACCTCACCAGCTGACATCAGTCAGACGCCATGTTTTGTTTATGTTTATTGTCCTCTCTCGCCTCTGCTCTCTCTTTCTCTCTTGTTCTCTCCCACTCTCTCTTTCTCCTGCCGGGGCGGAGCTCAGTATGGGCTCCTGCCCCTGGCCCACTCACCTGGGGATGATCAGCACACCTGCCGCTGATTACAAGAATTAGAGTCCTATTTAAGATGGCAGACCTGCTCTACTCGTCGCTCGATCATTGAACCATCAGCGTCAGTCGTCCTGTAATCTGCAAAGTTCTGTTCGTGAGTACGCCTAAACCTGGAGATTAACGGTTATCTGTTTGTGTGTAGATTCCCCCCGGACCCGTTCCCTGTGCACTGTGACTGAGCGTGAGCGAGAGTGGTGGTGGAAAGAAGAGGAGCTGTTTGTGTTTGCGAGAGCTGTGTGGAAGTCTTCCCTCCCTGGACTCCTGCCCCTCTCACTCCCGGACCCTGGAACCCCGGCCCCTCTTCCCCAAACACCATTGTGTGTATATATATTTAATTGTGGAGAACACTGTAAATAAATTCACTCTTGTTTGAAGGAACTTGTAGTCTGCGTCTGAGTCCGCTTCACTAGTCGTGATACCGCCCCTCCCTGAGCCTGGTTCTGCCAGAGGTTTCTTCCTGTTAAAAGGGAGTTTTTCCTTCCCACTGTCGTCAAAGTGCTTGCTCATAGGGGGTCATATGATTGTTGGGTTTTTCTCTGTGTCTACTGGACAATATAAAGCGCCTTGAGGCGACTTTTGTTGTGATTTGGCGCTATATAAATAAAATTGAATTGAATTGAATAACAGTGGCGGTCCTAGCCTGGTCCCACACACACACATACATACACAAAACATATTAAGGATTGCCCATTAACATAAAACTGTTGTTGGAACCATACTGAGTTTCACCAGAGAAACACACACACACACACACACACACATATATATGAAGAGAGACAGAGTACGCATAGTATGCGAACAGCTACCAAACAGCCATCATAATTTGTCATACAATGAGAACAGGACAAATCAACAATTGACACTGACTAATTAATATTAAAATCTGTAACACAATGTTTGGAGTTTAGTCTGTTACTGTTACTATTTTTACCATTTCTTCTTGGAGCAACTGTAACCCACATAATTTTCTTAGGGATTAATAAAGTATTCTGATTCTGATTGTTTCAGGATACATGACCTGCCATTATCCAATGACACATCTGCTTACCTGTATCTTTTGCTCGTTTCGTTTCTCCTCTTCTTTTGTCTTTTTTCTGAAGACCTGATGGCTTTGACCTTTTCTTGTCCATCTTGGTTTTAATTTTGCACTCCAGTATGAACATCCAATCCCCAACCCGAGAATCACCACAACATGACCTAATAGACCTACACCTTAGTTCACAGATTCACTTTGTCTAGGGTTTATTTCTGGGATTTCGCACAACCCAGGATTCAAATCATGAATACATAATGGGCTTGGATTTACAACATTATGAATGAAATGTGCTCTATTTGGAAGCAGCCGGCCCCCTCCCCTTTCGACAGGTAGTGTGTGAGACTTTAAATCATCAAACTGTAAATTATAAATTTTAAATTGTTATTGATCCCTTTACCCCTAGTCTTAAAGTGTATATTTATTTTCTTACTCTTTTTGTATAGCCTACATTGTTTGTTACTTGCACTGCTGTAACTGGAGCCTCGTCGTCTCGTCTATATACTGTACTGTATGTAACGGAGATGCCAATAAAGTTTACTTTGACTTCAGAACAGAAACAAGCAGGCGCACCGAGGGCTCTCGCGCTCACTTTTCGCGGATAGAATTTCGAAAAAACATTGGTGCAAATTATAAGTCTGTATCATAATGTCTGGTGTTTTCGTGTTTGTTGGTTTGTTTTATTTTGTGAGTTGGTTATTTGATGCCGCTCCAGCCAGCCAGAGAATCTCCCGCCGCCCCGCCCTCTCCTCCCTGTGCCGCAAGCAGCAGGCGCACCTCGCAAACAGAAGGCGCCGTTACTCTCAGCAAACGGGCGATAGAAAACCAATCGCTGCCTCTGCCATTCCCTATATGCGCTGGCATGATGTCGGAGCATCATAAGTACGAGCAATTTTTTTTTTTATTATTTTTTGCCGATGCCCGTGATGCCGCCCCCCACCACCACGATGCCGCCCCAGGCAACCGCCCGTTTCGCCGGTATCAAAAACCGCTACTGCCTTATAATGTGAGTGAAAGTAAAACAACACATTTGTAAACTTGGGTTACTAGGAATGACCAAAATAACTGATTTTCAATTAAAAAAAATTTGAAATTATTATTTTAAAAGAGATATATATTAAAGAATTGTGGGTCAAAAATGGTACAACAAAATATGAGAAGAATTGTCTTTTCAGACATGTGCTGTGAGTTGCGGAGAAGAGAAATTTGTGGAGAATTCCATGTCAACTATAATAGGTGGATTTTGTAAATAACCTTGTTGAATTAGACTAGTAATATCCTTTTATTTCTTTGGAATTTCTCTGCAATCAGGCTGTCCCAATACAATGTGTGCGTTTGTTTCTATTTGAGTTTATGTTTGCGATCAGCACTGAAGGAGAAATGGCGCTGCCTAAAGCCCATTGTAGAAGCGCAAGCAAATGTATGCAGCGGATAAGAGCTTCACCGAGGCTCGTGATTTTTATGTCATTTCTTAACCAGATGAGTTGGAAAGTTGGGAATTTTGGCCTAGATGACTTGCCATCCCTCTGTTTCACGCATGCGTCAGACGCTGCAACCCCTCCCCTTACGGAACGGTACAGAAAACACTGACAGTGTAGGGAGTGAAATATTCCTACCCATTATAAAAAATATAATAATGGAAATATTATTTTTGTTGCTTTCCCTCTTTCATTTCTCATCACCAGGTAAGACTGCATCCACATTCTTCATTTCTTTGAATGCTTTAATTCCTGTAGTGTCCTATTTCGTACTGCGTAATAGTTTTAAGTTTCACTTTCACAATTTGATAAATAACTAAATTTAACTAGTTTTAACTGAATTATAGGTGAAACTGGGGGCAGATTGAACATTCGTTGCATTTTTATTCTTAACTCACAGAGTAGAAATAGTCAACTTTTAATAAAAGGACATTTAAAAGCAAACGTGACTGAAACCCTGTAGTCATCTCCCTGGTCGCCGCCCCAAAACTTCAAAGAACAAAAAGATCAAGCATGAAAAGTACAGACAAGTGTTTTTAGAACATCATTAACAGACAGCAGTAGACACGTTTTATTGTTTTTTAAGACTCTGTTTCACTTCAGCTCTTCGTATGTTACAACTTCGCTCCTCTTTCGCGGTTTACGGACCAACACTATGCACTTCCGCCGTCCGACAGTTCGCTGCAGGTAGACGAGCAGTCCTTGGATGCAGTTCAATTCAAATACTTTATTGTCCCACAAGGGGAAATTTGTTAACCGGCAAGGCAACAACAGGAGTCAACAAAACAATCATAAAAAGCCACAAGACAGTTATTTGCCATTGAGGAGACGGGTTGCAGTAGGGATAAAGGAAACCTGCAGTAGGGATAAAGGAAACCTGCAGTCTTTTGGTCTTCCTCACAGGTACTCTAAAACGATGACCAGAGGGAAACAAGTCAAACTCACTGTGAGGTGGATGGTTAAAACAATTAACAATAGAATGAGCCATCCTCTGCACATGTTTGTTACAAATGGCCAAAAGGCCATCTTGCCAATGCCCTGAAGTTTTGCTGGCAGTTATTACCAAAAGTCCCAACCGTTTCTTGTTCTTCAGAGTCATGTTCCCGAACCAGGCAGCAAAACAGAAGGACGTAACAGATTCAATAAGACTTCTGGAGTTGAGCATACATATCTTTGTTCGAATATAAGTTCAGGCACCAACTGTCAGATACATGCAATACATCTAAACTAGGTTATATTATTCTACAAAGCCAGTTTACAATAAACAGTTAAAGAATGTGTACTCACGTTAATTAAGCACTTACTGAGCCCCTAAAGGGAGCTGCAGGAAAAAGCAGATTTCCTACAAAGTGCTATCCCTGTCGGTTTGTAAACTATCTTCTTATTCCAAAAACAGAGTACCAAAGGACTTGAACCTTTTGTAATGCTTCTCCTTGGATCCGAGATATTTTAACAGTCTATCTATTTTTCTTTTTAAATCAAATGCACATCTTCACCTTTATATTTCTTACTAATATTAGAATGTTAAATATGACTGCTTGTCCCACAGATAGCTCAGTTAGCTACATTAAACATCATGTAATGATGGTTATTCAATGAAGTCTGTAAAAAAGATTTACAGATAGCGGAACTCCTATCTGAACTGTCTGGAAGGCTGTGGTTTCTACTGCACCAAAAATGTTGATCATGAACAAATCAAGAAACTGACTCTATGAATGGAAGGCTTATGACTGTTATTGTTATTTTTTTCTGAAACATCAGAAATGTTTATTTATAAAATTGGGAGTTGCTTATTTATTATTCTTATTTTAACAGGTGACAATAAACAAGTGAGATGGGAAAATCTTTACTTTTTATTTAGTTGCACAATGATTGTGCATACATAGACATTCTCTTACAACCCAAACCTCATTTTTACTTTCCTAATTATTCTGAAATATTATTTTACTTTAAATAACATTTGGATTGGCCAAGAGCACTGTAATTGTTCAATAATAAAATGAATCTTCAAAAATACAACTATAACTGAATCATAGCCTAATGAATGTGATATTTTTAAATAAAGTTATAATTCTTTATTTACTTAATTTACTAATATGATAAATATTGTTTGTCCCACAGTGAAACACTCACTGAAGTATTTCTTCACTGGATCTTCTGGATTACCAAACGTCTCAGAGGTTATAGGTGTTGGAGCAGTTGATGGCTGTCAAGTGGGCTACTGTGACAGCAGTAACAATATAGTAGAGCCAAGACAGGACTGGGTGAAGAAAATATTTGACAACAACCCTCAGCAGTGGAAGTGGTACACTGATCATTGTTTTGAAATTCAGCCAAGCTTCTTCAGAGCCCGGATTTTTAGTCTGTCTCAGCAGTTCAACCAAAGTGGAGGTGCAGTATTTTTGTTAGACATTATGTCAGATCATTATAAATCATGGGACATGTTTAAACAAAACTTAGTGATACAGAATTGTTTTGTTGATCAAGAATTAAATAAATTAATTCAACTTTTAGTTATGGGGTGGCTGTAGCTCAGGTGGCAGAGCAGGTCAGCCACTAATCAGAAGGTCGGTGGTTCGATCCCAGGCTGCCTCCTGACTGCATGCCAAATATCCTTGGGCAAGGATATTTGGCATACTGACCACCACCAGTATCCTTGCCTACTGGTGGTGGTCAGAGGGCTGGCAGCCTCGCCTCTGTCAGTGCGCCCCAGGGCAGCTGTGGCTACAATGTAGCTTGCCAGTGTGTGAATGTGTGCATGAATGGGTGAATGACTGAATGTAGTGTGAAGCGCTTTGGGGTCCTTAGGGACTAGAAAAGCGCTATACAAATGCAGGCCATTTACCATTTAAATTAAAGGGGTGTTAATTCTGAAGTTTTAGATGATGTTTCTTCAGCAGATGTCATGCCAGCTGAGGTAGCTGTGCCTGTTACATCAGAATAAGCACCGAAATACTGCAGTGATCCCCCTGAAAAGTTAATACATTACATTATTATTTTTAGTTACAGAGTGGAAGAAACGACATAGTTATATTACATGTATCGGGTCTATACATTAGTGACACAACAAAGCAATTTTTTCAAAATCGCCAATTTTCTTTTTTTGCGTTCTTGAGCACCACTCTTAAATATTCTTTTAGGAGCTATTTATGCAATGTTAGGATAATTATAATTCTGTACGGAGATGTGACGCTATGATGAGGCTGTTCCGATCCTGCCCAACTATCCTTGCGGCTAAGATCTAGCCAGAAGTTTTCTTCTCAACTTGTAGAAGTACTGTAAAGTTTTCAGATTCTCAGTATTTACAGTCTCCTTATGGGCTGGACTCTGACAAAAAATCAGTCCGGGCATTTTGAATAGTGACCGGCCCACCATGGTATCATAGGAAAAGCCATAAAGCCTTTCTAATAAACTTAAACCTACACCATCCTCCCTATTCTGGTATTCTAAACAGTACTTAGTAAAAATATAAAACAACCTAATTTATAATTATATATACCTAACAGGGTTGCCAACTCCCAGCAAAAAAAGAAAAGAAAAAAAATAGGGAACCACTCCCCCACCCTCTGCCTCAAGATTCTTAATTGACAAAACCTATTTTAATTTAATGCACGTACAAAACAAATGCACAGAAATCTATTATTTTTCTCCAGTAATTAAATAGATTCAACATCTTTCTTCAACAGAATTGCATACTGCACAGATGGTACCTTCCCAAAGGAAAGAATGCTATAACTTACTAGGGTATATACTAGACTTAATTTTTACTGAATACGATAAATATGAAGATGAAAACTTTGGTTTAATTATTTATTAAAAGCTAGACATTTTAAATAAGAATAAGAAAGAAAAGTACAAATAAAACACTGTAAAAAGCCAAACAATAACATTTTAGGTTATCGAAGTGACTTATATATTACGTTTAACC